GAACGGGCCCCTAAGAGCTGCGCTCTAAAACCACAAATTCAGCTATACGCTTGCGGGGGCCGGACCATCCCGGTGGTACACGGCATTGGGGTCTTAGACCTGAAAATTTAGGAAAACCGCCACAACATCGAGACAATCAGCACACTCGAAAGAAGTGTGTATCAAACCACCCCCCTCATTTCGCGGATAGCCAATCGGCATCACGGAATGAAGGAGGACAACTTAATCAGGCAGGTTCAGGCATTCGTCCTAAATCGAGTAACCTACCTCGCTCCCTTCCTTGACCTCAAGACGGATGGGCGCAATAAAATCAACGCTTTAATAAAAAGGGCTTACAAGCAGGCCATCAGCATGCAAATCACGACCTCCAACGAGTGCTTTGAAGCACTAGGATTGCACAACACGCTAGACGAGCTAGTAGAAGCACAGAGGATAGCGCAGGTGGAAAGGCTTACCAAGGGCCCGACTGGTAGACACATCCTCCAGACACTACATATGAACTACGAAGGAAGACTCGGAGAGAAACACGACATTCCACCCGACATCAGGGGGCATATACACATCCCACCATTACCAAGAAACATACAGCCCGAACACAGTACGGGACGCGGGTAGGCCAAAGCGCAAGCACTAGACAAAAGGTTCGCACACCTCGAGGACGTGGTCTACGTGGACGCCGCAGATTACCGTAGTCGTGACGCCATGGCCATATCGCTAGTTGACCGACAGGGCAAGTTAATCAATTCTGGCACGGTCTTCACGACTTCACCGGAAGTTGGGGAGGAAGCAGCCATTGCACTGGCAATGACCTTGTCCTGCCGGATCAAATTCAGAGTAAGCGACTCCAAGCCGGCAATTTTAAGTTACACGAGGGGACGCACATCGTCCGAGGCAACCAAATTCTACGGACCGGTTTCCATGGATATCGAGTTCGGGGAGTTTATTAACCTAAAAAATCCCGCAAAATATAAAATAAAAAATGAAAGCCGCTTACAACTCCCTGTAACACCGAATTAGAGCGCAGCTCTTGAGGAGGAGGAGGGAAGGGCACTGGGGGGGGGAGTTAAACTAACCAGTGGGGGGTCACGTGACCTTGGGGGTCACGTGACCCCCAGTGCCGATGATGTCATCACTGACGTCACTGATGACGTCGCTGATGACGTCATCAGTGATGATGACGTCATCAGCGAGTGATGAGTGACGATGACGATGCGGATGCCGGTGACGACATCAGTGACGTCACTGATGATGTCATCAGTGATGATGTCGATGACGATGCGGATGTCGGTAACGTCATCAGTGATGATGACGATGACGATGCGGATGCCGGTGACGTCATCAATGATGATGACGATGTGGATGCCGGTGACGTCATCAGTGATGATGACGATGACGATGTGGATGCCGGTGACGTCATCAGTGATGATGACGATGACGATGCGGATGCCGGTGACGTCATCAGTGATGATGATGTGGATGCCGGTGACGTCATCAGTGATGATGACGATGACGATGTGGATGCCGGTGACGTCATCAGTGATGATGACGATGATGATGTGGATGCCGGTGACGTCATCAGTGATGATGACGGTGACGATGTGGATGCCGGTGACGTCATCAGTGATGATGACGATGACGATGCGGATACCGGTGACGTCATCAGTGATGATGACGATGACGATGTGGATGCCGGTGACGTCATCAGTGATGATGACGATGACGATGTGGATGCCGGTGACGTCATCAGTGATGATGACGATGACGATGTGGATGCCGGTGACGTCATCAGTGATGATGACGTCATCGGGGGCCACGCGACATCGGCGGGGGTCACGTGACCTCGGGGGGTCACGTGACCTCGAGGAGGGGGTCACGTGACCTCAGGGGAGTCACGTGACTTCGGGGGGTCACGTGACCTCGGGGGGTCACGTGCGCCCCACGAGGTCACGTGACCCCGGTGGGGGGCTCGCGCGGTGCATTATGGGACATTTCCCATGATGCACCGGGGTCACGTGACCTCGGGGGGTCACGTGCCCCCCACGAGGTCACGTGACCCCGGTGGGGGGCTCGCGCGGTGCATTATGGGACATTTCCCATGATGCATCGCGCGGTTACGCCGACGCCGATGCCGACGCCGACGGCGACGCCGACGCCGACGGCGACGCCGCTCAAGCCGGAAACGGGCCCCTAAGAGCTGCGCTCTAAAAAATAACACGTGACAACGCGTTAGCGCGTGACGGTTGCAGCGCTGCCAGACGAGCTCTGAAGGGGCGAAGTCCGCTGGTGCGCTGTCCGATACAGGGCTTTGCGGCAGTAGGTTGTCTGCTAATGACGCCGACTCTCGGCGCCGTATGCTCGTTCGTTGGCGCAGTTGGCATCGCGACCGCTTGCGCCATCTCTTGTCTCCTGTGCGAAACGGCGCGGTTTTGTTTGAAGACCTTTGGCTACGCCGCGATTCCATGGGAGCTAAGCCTTTTTCTTTCTTTACTTTTTCCTCAGGTAAGTTCGCTCTTTGCAAATTTTACAAAAAGAAAAATGCACCATCTGTGGGCAACGCTGCACAAAGTTGTAGCACGATAGGTAAAGAAACCGAATTTCGCGGTCAATTTAAAGAGCCTAGCCACTCCCTCGTAGATCCAGTACAGTTCATCATTAAGACATACAGATATTTCAAGTCCCTGTTTAGCAAACAAAAGTATTCCAATACCCTGAACAAAGTACAAATCAAAAGTATTCCAATACTACACAGAGTGCAAATCTACTCTATCTGATGAAAGTACAAATGCAGAATATTGAAAACTTCATGATACATTCACACTTAATTAACCCTTACTCAAAGGGGCATCACTGACTAAATAGAAACAAGAAAGCTTGATTAGGAGTTTAATAAAAGAAATTGACTGACAAAACTAGCAAGTAAGGCCATAAAACGGAAGCTTTTCCTTAAGTCAATGCGGAGCGCAAGCTTGTCTGCTTCTTGAACAGGGGTTGCGTGACGTCAAAACGCCGAGCTCTTATTGGCTGATTAAAAAAAACATCCTGGGTATATCTCAAGGCACCTAGCATTGAGGTCTACCCACTACCATTTCATTCAAAACCATTCAGAGCTTGGCGTCGTTCTGAAGTCACCGCTTCTCCTGTGCAAGAAGCACTCTCCGCATTGCATGGATGCAGAGAGCAAGTTCCGCTTCTTTCTATTCTAAAATTCTAAAGAACGGTTTAGAATTTGCTTCGCTCAGCAGGGCATTCCCGCCGTTCTCCGGGTCCTCCCGTCGGCTTGCTGTCTGGCTGCCAGCATGGTGTCTTCGCCACGCACGTCCTTTACAAGAAACTCTACAGATGATTGAGGCAACCGATTATCGCTTTCATATGTTACGTTTACGACAGAATGAGGAACGCGAAAGCAGTCTCAGCAAAAGCACCCCGAGCACCCAAAATATATATTATGCCAAATGCTTATTTTTATAGAGTAGACATTGCTTACTTGCTTGTGTGTATGTGTGTGTATGTGTGTGTGTGTGTGTGTGTGCGTGTGCGTGTGTGCGTGCGGGCGTGCGTGCGCGCTGGTGTCGGGGGAACACTACAAGCTACGTGAAACGGAAACTCTTCAGTTTCAGAGTTTCTTAACTGTTCCCTCACCACAGTCTCGGGTTTTAAACATCACGATTAACTATCACCAGCTCGCCTGCGCACTCACTCTCTTTTCGTTACTGATAGATATCGCAGACACGGCGAACTCGCGTGTGCAATAAGTCTGTGGGAATTCGCTAGGAACTCCCCTGTCACGGGCACAGCAGCAGAACGCGGACGCGGCGCATTCGCGCTTCACAGTGCGGCCTAGACGCAAGAACCCGGCCCCCTCAAACTCGGGTGTCACGGGAACTGATATCGCGCGCAAAAATCAGACAGAAAAAATACGGGAACGAATTTGGAATTTGCAAGTTATGGGAAGGCAAACTCCGCATCGTACGGATGCTGCAGATTCGCGCGTCATGGTGCGATAAGCACGAGGCAACCCGTGGCGAGCACGCTTGTCGCGTACCGATACCGCAAATCACGCAATAGATAAAATAAAAAAAGAAAACAGGATGTGTGATTTTTTGGGGGCGGGTGTTTTCATGAGGCTTTACGGCGATTTAATGCGTGTGTGTCGCATTTCGGATCCACTCGGTCATGATCAGTGCCACTGTGCGCAAAAAAAAAAAAAAGGATGAAGTGAATGACGCAACGATGCATGGTCTCGTCGTTTGTCAGAGTTCTAATGAGTACAATGACAAAACGACCTGTTCATGTGCTATTTTCGGAGATCAGGCTTACACGCCGTTGACAGGACCACATCGGTATGGTGGTTTCATAGCAAGAAGGCCTTTTAGCAAACCGTTACCACGTACCGCGCACTAGCGGAGCCTTTGAAGCCTGCTTTGAAGCGCGCGCCCCGGGGTCACTGTATGGATATGGATGGACCGGGCACGCGCTTAAAAGCATGTTTCAAAGGCTCCTGTAGTGCGCGGTACGCGGTAACGGTTTGCTGAAAGTCTCTATTTTTAAAGAATTACCTAAACAAACACAACACGGTAAACCACTGTGGCCGATAAAAAAAAAAAAAAAGTACTCCAAATACATACAGCCTGAAAAAAAAAAATTCTTGTTCGGTTAGTTTTGGAGCAACATGTGCGCTTGGGAGCAGGATGGCACAGCAAAAGTGGATTGGCGCACAGTGGCGCAATTGGCGCAGCGCTTCCACCCCTGATATTATTGGACATCCTTGCAAGCCGGGGATTCATTGCCTGACAAAATGAAGAGACACACCCACCCAATCCGAAAAAAAGGTGGGAGGGCGTGGCTTTTGTAAGTACACACAAGTTGAGAGTTTTTTTGTTTGTTTTTTTCACAACACAAAAATAAAAAAATTGATTCTTTCAAGAATCACGTAATCGGGGAAACTATATAAAGCGAACACGTCTGCCCATATTGGCACTGCGTTTGAGAGGTCGTCAACGATGCTGGCCCTGAAACATTTGGTGTTCTGTCTAAGCGTTTCTGTGGCATACGCCGACGTAGTGTTTGATAGTTGGAAGAAACCGCCGGACAACAATCCTGACCTGAACAGAGAAAAGCTTGGCGCCATGCAGGATGCCTGGAAGGTATGATTTATTTTTACCAGGGATATCAATTTTTGTAGCGATATTATAGCCTTCTGCCTGCTGATAAACCGATATTGCTGTTTCAGTCGAGATCCTCTTTATATTAGTAAAGAGATGGCAGCCGGATGACCGTGCGGATACATGTACCCGAATAATGCCCCTGCTGAAAACAAACCTCATTGCGTAGTAAAAAAAATGACGATTGCCTTAAAGTGTTGTAACAGGAACTGTTAAAGTTACAATTTGTTCTTAATTTTTATTTTTCACTAACGTCTTGCGTTATATTTGGATGAAGTCTGAGCCTTCGAGGATACGTAGAAGTTTTTAACCTTTGGAAAAAATGTAGTTTCATCTTATTGGCAGCGGCTTGATATACTGGTTTCTCAGGTGGCACAAATTTCAAAGGATAATACAATAAAACGTGATGGCTATAATTAAAGCCGGCTGAATGAAGGTAATTCAAAGCTGCCATTTTTGTTACGTAATATCAATATTGCCTGTTTGTTCGTTTCTTCGGAAATTTTTTATTTATTAATGTTACTTTTACAAGCACGAATATTGTTGTTAAGGCCTTTTTACTATTTTGTTTACGTCGAGTCTACATTTGTCACTTTTATTCTTCTCGAGAATCAATGACGTGTTTTCACTCGTAGACTGCGTGGATGAAAGTTGAGTCTGCGTTTTCACGATCTTCATCCCAATTTATTATGAACGCAAAAAAAAAAAAAAAATATTATTCGATAGTCCTCTTACGTTTAGCTTAGCTTTGAGTAGAAGCGTCTTCACATCATGGCTTTATCAATGCATACCCAGCTATACCTGAGGACAGCGCTTAATTGACGTAAAAACAATAACAAGAAACATTCATATGTATATATTTCAGACAATCAGGTTTACGGCGAACCAGAGCTATTATCTCATTTATAGTACCGGGCCGTGGACCAGTGCACTTTACAGAGATAAGAAATGTTTCCAAGTGCATTCAAGTGACCTCAATGACACATTGAAGATTGCCAATTACACATCAAAATGGTACGACACAAAATCTAAAACAACGTAAGTATGTTCATTAATTCACAATGTCCCTAGGATAGACGTTTCAGTTAAAATATCCAACCAGTCCATTGAAGGGGTTAGTTGCCTTTTCAAAAACCGATAAGTATCCACGAGCTTCACTGAAGCACAATCGCGTGCTTGAATTACTTTCTTTTTTAGCCAATGATTTGGTATATTACACTATTTCGAACTATATACTGAGGCTTAAAAATAGGATGCATACAGAAGTACGAAAAGCCCTCTCATAAAAAAGATAGGGATCGATAATATAGGAGAATAGTTACACCGTCTGAGTACGGCATATGCACTTGTGCGGAGGCCATATGGGTGTGCCATTGTGAATTTACATAGCGAAAATACATTTTAACAATAATGCACAGGCTGCGAGAACAAGTAAATCTTTATTTTACGTGGACAAATTAAAGAAACATGAAGCAAACATCGCTTATACAAAATTTAAAAAAAAAAAAAGAAATGAGGCTTTCTCGCAACTCCGGACAAAACAGTATGGAAGCTTCGAAAATTGAGCCAACTAAGGCTGACAAGATATGGTTTAACAAAACCTGTATCAAATACGATCTTCGGCACATTTTCAACATCTTGCGTTGTCTCTAACGAAAAAAGGATCAAGAGTATCCAGATGAATGAATCGTACTAAATCATTTATTAGTAAGTTTATTACATTGGCCTGTTTTCGATTATTTCCTCTTTAGAGACCATTAGGAGAAGAAAATGGCCCGTGGCATATTCAAGCGTGGCCTTTGAGTCCCGCAAATGTTGTTACTGTGTTTCTAAAGCTTTTAAACAAGAAATCTTGCATGCATGTACACGTGGCGGGACAAACAGTGTTGGGACAGCGAGGTTGGTCGGGGACTTGGGTACGGCAGGGAGCCGAGCCAGGGCAGGAACTCATGTAGAGGCCGGACTCGGGAAGGATCAGGGAGCAGGAGGGGTGTCTCTTGTATAATATAACTCTTTAGATATACATATGGACAGGTTACAGCATCTCAAGAACACATTCGAGAACACTGCGGAGAACACTGTCAAGAGAGCACAAGCTAGCAGCCGTCTGCTGCTGCTTTTATAACCTCACTTGTCCCCACATCCTTAGTAGGGAATCCCTATCGTTGATTGTTCGAAATGTCCAGGCACGCCATCTCCCTCTCCCACGCACTGCCATACGCGACACACGCACGGAAGGGCCAGACATCCTTGGCCGCCGTGTCGCCGGTCAATGTTGGCGGACAATGGTGCCATCGAAGTCGAGGAAGGCCGAAGACATCCATAATTGCAGGCGTCCTGGCTTCCGCGTGGTAGGAAATAATCCCATGGGCGATGTAAGCTGGGGAAATTGAGTAAAACTCCCTCCTTTGTCGAGGGCGTCCCAAGGCGGTCGTGTCGCCGTGCGTCGAGGTCAGGCAGGAGAAGCAAAGAGGGGCCGGACGGCAAAGACGACCAGATGACACTGGCATGGGTCAACCCGATGATCCTTCGGAGAAGGTCACGTCGTCCCCACTAACCAAGGTGCGTTGGCGACTCAAAGGCGCCTCTCGCTCTCTCCTCGGACGCAGCTGACCGTAGCCACCTGACGACGATGCTTTAGGGCGTTCACCTGTGCCGGTCGGTACGGAACGGCAAGGTCGTCTCCGAGGGCCTTTCGCAACAACAGTGAGAGAACCTCTGCAGGACTACAAGGGCGTGCCAAGTCCCTGCAATTTCCGTACCGCGTTCCACACGGCGGCATGTGCTTTCAGAAAAGCTCTGCTTGCCTTCAATTCCGTTCGGTGCACTCATAAAACAAATAGGAAACGTCGAAACGACAAGGCGATGAGGTGGAGTAGCACACTTGAAAGTGTAATTATGACACTCAAACTTTGAAGCAGGAGGCCGTCAGGGATCTTGTCTTTTGGGCGGCTTGAGCGATTGTCTCATCGCACAATACGGTTCATTTTATTTACATATTTTCGACATACGATTTTCGTATGCTCTTCAATAACACAACACGTATATGACACTGGTCACTGTATTGTAACACCACAGTGAGTATGTGTCTCGATTCTGTATCGCAGTATACAACGTGGAAGTTCGTCTGTTTCTTGCGTACCTCGAACGTTTGATTACTCCCGAAACGCGCACAAGTGTTTTGTTTCTCGCCGACCTCAGGCAATGTTGCCTTTCGATTGGCATGCTCCTCCATTGTTCCGATGTACCAGCGACGCATTTTGGAACACAATTGCTCGCTGTATTACGTCGATGTCTGACTTCGCACAGGCAACAGAAAACGCGGCCCCTTCCCTTGAAATATTGCGATTCCGCTGTGTAAACCCAAAAACAAAAAGAACAACGCATTATTTGCCGATCTGTAGTCGGGTGTGCAGATATGGGAGTGACGGTGTCCCGCCATTAGGAGCAAATGACGGGACACAGTCATTATCTCCTAATGTTCAAATGTTGTTGTTTTTTTTTTTTTTTTTTTGGGGGGGGGGGGTGTGATTGCGCATTGTATAACTTGTAGCAGATGTCATCATGCATCGATATTTTTTGGATCTCCATTTGTGTATTTGTTGTGTTGACATGTAAGTTACCCTCTACAATAATGCCCCTGGGCGAAATATGGGTAACGAATAAATATATGAATAAAACATAAGTCAACAAAACCAATCCCCACCCGCTGCTACAATCGGCGTCAGCCCCTTGGTGAGCAGTCTTTTGTGTAGATCGCACGCCGCAACCTTCGGCGATGCATTGGTCAATCGCAGAGGGTGCGCTCGGTTCCCAACCGAACGGGAGACAAGGTGGTGCTAGAAGTGACGTCACTCAAAATACGGGGTGAGAGTTGAGGAATACGGCGACCTTCGATTTGTTTTATTTTTTATTTAATAAAAATCAGCCCGCAAAAAGTAAACGGGTTTGGTGTTCTAATCTAACCTTCAAACCTAATCCCGAAAATCGTTGCACCCTCTTTTTAATGAGTATAGTCCGCACGTACTGAAAGCATGTATGTGACCATAATTATCCGGCAGAGAAAGTAAAATAAAATTTCATGGATGAAGAAAGAATAAAACAATTAAAACAGGGACAACCAGATCTTATGAAGGATCTGGTTGTGCTGTCCCTGTTTTAATTGCTTTATTCTTTCTTCATCCATGACTTAAACCAACACGCTCTTCTACCAAGCAAAGAAAATTAGTTTCACTAAGGCAAGATTAAAATACGGGGAAAAGGCACCCACCATTCTGTGTAAGAAAACAAAAAGGGCCATTTACTGAAAGTGAAAACAGACATAAGTTGTCGGCTCCCACTACGAGTTGGCAAGAATTTACAAGAACGATCTCACAAAATAATCACTATATGTAAACCAGTCTTATTTGTCCTTTCTCAAATATAGTGCTTTCGCATACCTGCCACATTCATAGTAGCAAGCATATACGGTATTGAAGAAGAAGAATTGGGGTTGTGTGGATATTTATACCGCGTGCAGTTGGTCAACCATTTCAAAGTTGCAACGACTCACTTGCTGTAGATGAGCAATGTAGCCAGTGCTGTACAACCGCTAGCCTGGGGTCTTTAACGTGCACCACGGAGCAGGGATACACGACGGCACGACCGTACGATGCTCATCCAGATCAAAACGGGCAGGGGTGGGGATTGAACCTAGGATACTGCATCCTGCAGCGCGATCTTTCGCTCCACATGCTTCGAGCTGGTGTGCGCTAAAACCCTCAACCACCGATCCTTTTTTTTTTCTTTTTTTTTTATTGCCACTCGGCCACCGATTCTCCCTTGGATGGTATTGTTTCGTTAAAAACACAGCGTTATTTTTTTCTTATAATAAAGAACGATTTTATTGTCAGGTTTAGTTTAATTTACCTACGGAAAGATAAAAAAAAACTTAAACTTGAGAATCCTTTCTTTTTCCCTTGCCGGTATTTGAAACACAGACGGAATTAAATTTAAGCCCTTTTGATAGGTTCAATTTACGTAATTTGAAAATGAGCAAACGTTTAAATATATATCTCTTTTTTTTAATTTCAAGCTAGGTGTTTGTACCGAGAACGAGCGAAGTCTGTCCCACATTGTTGAAATAATTTTGGCTAATCTAAAGGTACGCAAACTGCTAAATGATAACTTTACGTTTAGTTTTTGGTTACTCTTAATATTTCTCATTTATGAATTTGAGATAGGCTAAATGCACAATGGCTAAAACTTATGTTACTAGGGCCTTAAAAAAAGCGTGAAAGATAATGACTAACTAATATTTAACAAACTTCGTTTGTTAAATATTAACTAGACATCGCACGCCTGTTGAATATTAACTAGGTTTCGCACGCCTCCTCCTTTGCTATATCTTCTCAACTTTCTACCTCGCCCCAACTTGGGTCTACCCACAGCTTAGGAGAAGGGAGCGCTAAGAGGATTATCTTCCCTGCAGAAAATCGAGGTTTTACGTCGGACTTTAAGTGTGAACAAGATTTGTACACATAGTGATTTTTCCCATTTTTTGCTACAGGAATTCAAAAACACAATTCGTTCAAGCTGTAAAACAAAAGGGTTATAGTATTGAAAATACTATGCAACTGGGTACGTACCTTACAATTTCTTCCAGTAATAATTAACACTTACATCGTCACCGCACGATTTCTGACAAGCCTTGTGCACGAAACAGTTGTCGCCGGGAAGCGCACCATGAATGCAGCAACTATTTATGAATTTATTAAGCACAGATTAATAGCCAGGTTGTCAACAGGACATTTGTCGACTAACAAAACTGCTCTTAAATGTTTACGTGATCTCCATTGATTTATTTACCCTTCACACATGTTTCATGCTAAAGCTGCGTGCAAGTATCTATTTTTTTATATTTGAGTACCGAGTGCGGCTGTGGCTTTGGTGTGGTTTACTACCATGTGATGTTTGTTTGAATAACTTATGTGGACGCACAGGGGTTAATATTAGCTTAAAACGACGCCCCTAAGCTATTTTGTATCCAACATTTGACGGTACACATAAACCAGTGTAAACTTACCAGGAATACGAGGTCGCTGATAATATGCAAGTGCCTCACATTACCCAAATGTTGACATTCAAACTATAATTCTGGTTTGCTCTGCAACATTTTGGTCCTCATGTGTACGAGTAAATTGAAATTATTCAACGTATTTTTACGACATATTTTCTTGTTTTCTTTTTCAAAATATGCGCATGTTCAGTTCTATACATCCCTTGAAATAGTTACCCCTTCTTTTTTTTCTTTTAGATCGTATTTGTATATAATATGAATTTCTTATTCGAGGTTTTATAATACACAATCGATAAAATGGCACTGTCTAATGTACCTTTGACACTTATCTCGTATTAACTTGAAGCAATTAAATGCTCTCAGAATACCTAAACCATAGCCTCCTCTACACTCACAAAGCCTGACACTTCGATGGCGGAGCCATAGAGTGCCCGTTCGCAGATTTGAAGCAGAGAGCATTTCTCGGGGAGTCTGGTATTCAGCGCACAGCTTTTACAGCGGCGAGGACCTGAAACATGGTTTTCGAACCCGAAAGGAAAAGAAGCGGTAGCCCGAGGGACGCGAGAAGCACGAGCGGACATTCCATCGCTCGGGACAAGTGTGTTTCGGCGTCTCGCCGCAGCGGGGCGCCCGTTACACGACTCTTGTCTTCCCCTCTACCTTTTAACTTTAGGCGGCCGCGTCACGTGACAATTTGCCAGGTTTTGTTAGCCTAAACTTGCAAGCTTTTTTTTTTTTCTAAAAACGTCGAAGCGCGGCAATTGAGAGCAATACAATGGCGGCTGTCAGCTATTAAAGCAATCCCTGTAACCGTCGAAAATATTTCGTTCGTGAGCGCTTGATGTGCGCACCGCGGTGCTGGCATTTGTTTTTAATTACAGTTCCTTTCAATCTTTCAATGTGCTCCCGAGACTTACGTATTGTGCTGGGTTTCTCTCCACTGCTTTAAAACTCCCCCAATTCAAAACCAAGGCCTAGTGCATTAGTAACGTTTGACAAACGCGGGCAAGCTGCCGCGCCTCCCTTAATTTCAGACGTACCATGATTGACGTAGGTGCTTGTTCAGCGAGAGCATGTTTTGAAACCGCGATCTCGTGTTACCCTGTAAGTTGAAGAGTAAGTGGATTATAGATTACTGTTTATTTCTTGAATAATTCTTGTAATTATTTGAATTGTTACGTAGTTTTCGTGTAGGTTATAGGAAACAGAAAGTGCATCATATTAAAACCTGGGGTAAGCTATTAGAAATATGTGGGAGACAGAAAAAAAACGAGTGGCAGTTGCTTGCAGTGGTATCAACTTCCAACGCCTGTGTATGAAGAAGATGCACAAACAGGAAGTTGCGCCATTCAACACGGACAGAAAGTTACGCACAAAAGCTATATAAGAAACCTTTTCCTTTCATTTTAATTCGGGGCCTGAACGTGAAAGACTTCCGCCACCAGCATTCGCGAACCAGAAAGTTCAATGGCGTCTTCACCTGGCTACATTGTGGGCCTTCGACGGCCTTAGTCGAAAGGTGCTGTTATACTCCATTGTTGAGCGAAGCGAACGCAGCGTAGCACAGAACGCGCGCGTGTGATTGGCGGGCGAGCAGAACTCGATGTCTGCCACCAATAAGTATCTATGTGCACTGCGCTACGCCGCGCTTGCTACACTCGACGTCGGATCATACGAGAGCCTTAAATAATCAGCGCAATACGCTATTTTCAAAAGTTCACCACAGCAGCACTGGCGGTCGCCATTTTTCGGGCACGAAGCGTGGGATTTAATCCGAGTTTTTGCCAACCGCTGATCCTTAAGATGAGCTTAGTGCACGTGCTCAAACAGCGGCGTACTTAGGTAGTTGACCCAGCAGCTATTGGTGTGGACATTTTTAAATGGGTTCTATTATCCGTGGCTACATACTCATATTCTGTCTTCTTTACTTGTTTTGTCTAATTGCTGACGGCGTTTATTGTTGAGTGCAATTACAGCTGTTTCTGGCATTTTTTTTTTTATTATTTTGCTTTTTGTATTTTTGGGCGTTAACGCTACACGCCAATTCCTAACTCAAACCCGATCCGTGTGTATTGTGTCGAGCTCACAACGTACCACTTAATTAAAAAAAATGATCTTCCATTTTTCTTTTCAAGGCCAGTCAAAGCCTACAGCCACATCACGAAATGGAAGCTGCTACGAGCTCAATTTCAACTTCTTCTGCGGAGAAAGAGGCTGCAAAATATATCATCCGGAATGTTGGGGAAAAACCTTTACTAAACTTTCAGAAAACTACGTTATATTCAGCAATCCCTTTTGTCATATATTGAGATCACTACAAAATACGCGCGCTGCTGAATGTGAGTATAATGAAATCATTCGGCCTACTGCAGCATCTTATAAATAACAATCTCTAGGCGCCAAAATAAAGTGATTAAATTTAAATATATACAAGATATTGAACATCTTGGTCTAAAACAGTGCGACCAAAAACAAGGACAAAGTCAAGACGAGACAAACCGCGCTGTCATCTGTGTTGTCTTCCCTTTGTTGTTTTTTCGCGCTGTTTTAAACCAAGATGCTAGTGAATTGAGTAGTCCAAACATACATTTTAGCAAGATATTCAAAGTCGTTTCGCCCTAAACACCAACTCAAATATTTTTCGAGCCACGTGGCGTCCAGGAACCGACAACTAAGCGTTCAATGATTGTAAAAATGTCCCAAAGGCCGGGAGAATTCATCCAAGCGAAGGCGATAAGTCTAAAACGTTTACTCCGACTTAAAACAACAGAGCTATAGCAAAAAGATGCATGTCTTGCTACCTGTGCAAGTGGCATCTTCAGAATGAACAGATACAAATGAAGCAAGAGCCCTCTTCTACACAAACTAAAAGATAGAGCATTCTATAGCTGTCACCCAGATCACTGGGCAGTTGACTCATGTCCGCCGCCTGATATTCCGCTGACGAAAGCAACTGCACATCCTCAGAACGCGGTTCACAGCCCAGTAGACAAGGATGGCAGCGCGCAGAAGGTGATTATTAGAAAGATCTGTAGACGTTTACAAGTACGGCCTTTGGGCGCCGCCATCTTGCTCCTTGTGTGGGTACATCCTCTGATAGTCAACCCTTGCTGAGGCGTGCCCACAAATTCCAGACTGGCGTAAAAAAAAAAAGAAGCGTTTTCAGTTTACGGTGGCCAGACTGGCTCTTGAAGCGCGGCTCTTTGCTAACGTCTAAAGGCTGCGTCGTTGTCGGCGTGGCAGGTAGGCTTTCACACTACCATGATGCTGACCCCACGCGGGAACTTATATCACTCCTTTTATACTCATGCCAGTCTGGAGCGGTCCTTGTGATATCAACGGTTGGTGAATATACTCAATTATTTCACCAAGTCAGGTGAAGCGGAAACAAGTGTAGGGAGCTGAAATCGCATAGATCTGGGGACGATTCCCACTCAGCCGCGAACCTGGCAAAGAATCGCAGTCCTAACGCTTGCGAAGCTACCATGTTCGTCCGATGTTAATATTAAAAGATACTCCTCTTATTGTTTGCTTTTTTCACTCAAGTAAAAAAATGAAAGGCAGAAATTACGTACGCAATCAATGTAGCAATAGGCCGGAGGACATTATAGTTTATTAATTATGCAAATACATTTCCATGTCCCGATTTCATGGGTTATAATTCCTGGAGATCTGAATTTGGTGCCACCCCGACTGCAGCTAATATTCGAAGCTTCAGTTAAAATACAGAGCATAAAAATTAAATCACCCGATTAAAAGAATGTAGTGCAACGCCCCTAATACAAGGGTGCAAACAGTTTTACTAGAGGAGACCAGCGGTCAAGTCGTGTGTGCTATTGTATATTCTGATTTTAGTATTTTGTTTCTACCTAGACACAAGGCTACGGATGAGAGATTAGACTGGTTTTCCTGACTTCATATCTTGCTAATTATCTTCACTCTACTTGAAGAACCTTTTCAAGTGACGAAGTTAAACCCCTTATTGCATGTTGATTGTGGAAAAGACGTCAGCCACCTTGCTCAATCTTTGTCTTAATTTTCATAGACAGGCCAATATTGAAAGTGCTCCTTAATAAACTCGTTTGGATCCTAAAACCCAGGAGAGAGGTGATATGGTGCAGCATTACAGATCGCATAAGCTCGCAGCGATAGCTGCACTGATAAACATAGAGTTTAAAATCTCAGAAAAATATATTTAAGTGCTCAACACCATACATTTTAAAGCATATTTAAACGATTAAACTCGGTTGGTAAAACTTGAATCGCATTTTCTTTTGTGCAGAGTTCAAAAGGAATCTCTTACTTTTTTTCTTTATTGAATTTTTTCAAGTGAGGCAAACTTACGTTTATATTTTCGCCCTTAAACCGCTTGTTTTTCATCTGTTTTATGCAAAGTGAACTGTTATATACTAAAATGCGTGTCTTACCGATTGCCTCAAAATATCGTTCTTTTTTTTTTCCAGCTTGTGAATTCTGGTTGAAAGAAGATTTGTTAAAAAATATGACCATTCCCCAAGCCAATACAAGAGCAGGAAGCGAAACAAATGAAGAACAGAAAGAAGCGCTTGACAGTTCGAGTAAAACTACATATTTGTATGATTCCTTATTTAAGGAACTTCCGTCCAGCTGTCGATACGCATTTCTTCTCAACTGTGGAAATCCAGCATACAGAATTTATGACAAGGAATATTGCGACAAGATAGATGAAACAGATAACGCCGCATAGGGCGTTATCGTAAACGCAAGCAATTAGCACAATAATTTCAACAAATACACTTCCCGTCTCTGTATCGGACATCGCGCTCAAACCATCTTTCACGTGTCCTTTAACGTTGTCTTTTGTTGCTCCGTAAATGGGAACCAGTACAGTATCTAAGACAGTCATTTAAACACTGCGTATGATTTCGGACAAGTGCAGAAAGCAGGAGGACTTTATTCCGTGTGATAGTTCCAGAAAACATATTGCACACTGCAGTGCGGGAAAAAAAAAAAGAGGACTAGTGTTGAAAAAACAAACTTTAGCGAGGAGTACCCAAGGTAGACCTTGTGTCTGTTTTGTCGAATAATAAAAGTAATAAAGTATTTTTTGCTTTTCAATTGCCATTTGTGACTTGGAAATGGTTGCTGTAAATAAAACAAAGGGGCCTGCGCTTCTGCGGTGCTTGGCGACAGAATACATTGAATTGCGATAGCATTGCTTGTCTTCTATGAAGCCAGCATGCCGCTGATTAAGTTGAGACTACGCCTATAGAAGTCAACCCAGCGTCAAATGGTCGGCCATTTTCATTCCACGTAAATGTTAATACTCAGTAGATTGACACTTCTGTTTAGCTATAACCTTGTCAGACAACTTGTTCCTCTTGCATTGCGCTGTGAAGACTGCGCTACATACAAGGAGTGCCTCGTACCACGACCTGTCAATGCACGCCACTGGTAGATAAAAGGTAACTTAATAAATATTGCTTCAAAAGTCTCTCCATTGGCTCGTGCAATTAATAAAAAAGATCTCTCCCTCGTGGTCCAGTGTTTGAACGTTGTGCTCACGAATCATGGTGTCCTGGGTTTGAGTCCGCTTGAATTGCGCAGGGATTTTTTTTTTTTTTCAATTTATCTATTTTTTAATTACCACCGCGTGTATTTGCGTTTTTTTTTTTGCATATCAAAATGCTTACGATAAAGCACCCAAAAAAACTGAGAATACCAGTGCCTTTTGCAAAAAGAAAAGAAGAGCTCGTTTTTATATTTTCTACTAACTCCTGGAAGAACAAAACGGAGTGAGTGCTTTTCTACCTGGAACAAATGCGAGTGTTTACCTGCTGTCTGGGCAGTCGCAAAATTTCAACCGTGCTTGTTTTGACGCCCTTTTGTTTTGTGATCGCTGATTATCGCGCTTTTGCTGGCTTTTGTGTTTGAAAGAATCTGCCCCTTGTTTTAGAGGCAAGTCCTTAGAATGCAAGAATGTGGTTTTAGCATAACCTGTAATTGTGTCAAGCTCCCTCAAGACGTCGACAACCTGCCCTGCCGGATTATGAGCCCATGGCCAATCAACACCATTGATGTTGCAGCTGTGCACCATTTCGACAACTATGTGATTGATTCGGGCGAGAGTTTCAAATCGTTCTTTTTTATATTGGTTACGCCGTTCATAAACATAGTGAATACGCCGTTCCTAAGATTCACATTTTTAAGAAGACCCATGGGAATCATTTCCATTCGTTTGCGAGAATAAAAATATCGATGCTGGTAAATAGAAAAACGGAAATACTTCAGGAGTAACCAGCAGTCTCATATGTCTGGGAAATATCTGATCATCTTCAGGGCGCAGTTGTTAATTCAAGTGAACAATCCTGGTCAAGCGCAAAAGAGAGAACATAATACCTTTTCCTAAAGCAGCTGCAGCAAAAGCCAAATTGGCAACATTTCTACATTCGATAAGGTAAATGTATTGCTCACGTCATTCAACGCGTAAGGAGCCAAACTTGAAAAATAATACATTACAAAAGTCGTTTTGCACTTCAACGACGATTTATACTTATTGTTAAATGGAAGCCGAGAGCCGCATAAATCGTGGAGTAGTGCACTTGCTTGCCGAGTAATTCTTAAATTGCTTTCCACATAAAAAAGGAACTGAGGGTATAAAACAGGCGGTGCAGCGATTTTGTACTTTCAGCAAATATTGTTTATATACAATCCCTTACATTCCCAACACACGCATCACGCGTTAGTGAAGACAGTTTCAGTCAGAGGTACGAAATCGCAAAGCTTTTGTTTTTATATCCTTTTTTTCTGCGGTTGCTATAGGACCCGAAACTTGGAGACAGGAATGCTGGAAGTTACAAGTGCCGTCAGACGACCAAAAACTGCTACTGCAAAACATAATTATGTGCGAAACATGTGAATAACGTCGGCATGGTATTTCAACACACCTTGTATCAACATCAACAGTCCACTCGGAAGTGCATTACACAGATCAAATTGTGATGAATTCCTTCTGTGTACAGATATAGTCTAAAAAAAGAAATTCCATGTGCGTGTGAGCTGGCGGCCACGACTGTGGTGAGGAATAAAGACTTTCAAGTCCTAGAAAATGACACGGAGAACATCTCACTCTGGAAAGCGAAACAGGAGAGGCTATTGGTAAGATTGGCACCCAAGAGTGTCTCTGTGATCGGCATTCGTGATTGGGAAAACTGTCACTATACGTCTTGATTCACTTTGACGGCGTTGCTTTGAGAACGCAATGATTCCAAACTTCTATCGTGCTTTTTACACGCACCATCGAGCTTCGTTCACAACTGATAATAAGTAGGCAAGAATGCCACTCGAGACCTCCCGACGAGGAAAATTCTGCTCGTCATGTCACGAGCGGAAACCATTAGAGGGCGCCACCGAAGCACCTTGGCGCCAAGAGTCTGACGAAAAAAAGAAGTGCTTTCCTTTGAGTATAATCTTATTTATTTAGAGTGTTTATGGACTATTAAAAATTAACCATTTGTATTACATTGCCATTCGTGCCTCTTCTAAGTTTAGCGGTTTTTTTATTGCTAACATGGCAAAACTGATAATAAAAATGTGTTTTTATCGGGAAGAGAAAGCTTGGCTGTGATGTTCGTGTGTGAAATATTACAATGTGTTGCTTTAAAAAAAGTTCCTTTTTTCGCACACTTTTTTTTGTGCGGTGCAGCATATGTCCAAGGGAAAATTTTGCTGAATCGAATAACCTCGAGTTCTCCCCATAGGTCGGGCACCCTTGACATAAGCATATGTCTGACAAACATACACCTTGACAAAACTGATGATGATGACAACATGTATTTGTCCATAGATGGGGTAAGGGAACATGGAGTCTAGACAGAGTCACCCCTCTCCCCCCTCAGTCGGCGGCCAGGAGTCCTTGTTCCTCTGCGGCGGCCTCGGCCATCTGGGCCAGACGGACCTGTTCTCCCGGGTCCGAGCTGTGCAGCACGGTCTCCCACTGCTCGGATGTTCGGCCCTGTCCCCGAAATGCTTACATGCGCTGGAGTAAAGCCCCGGATAGCAGCGGCTGTACGCCACTGAGTTTGGAATTGTATTAGTTTGAAGAAGGCGCCACGCCACTGCCTGCCATTTGGACAGGGTCCTGTCTGCTGCAGGGTATTTAGCCCTTCCCAGCCTGTAGTGGTTAATTACGTCCCGGTAGGCAATTAGCCTGTCTTTGTCCGACCGACGCAACGAGTGCGTGTCAAAGATGTTGGTGACGTCGGCCCGGTCGGTTAAGCATCGAGCCGCGTCGTGCGCCTTCTCGTTCCCCGGGAGGCCAGAGTGAGCTGGCGCCCACACAATTTGGACTCCCCAAACTCGATCTCCATAGAAACCCGGCCGTAGATTTTTGAGTGCCTCGGACAATATGCGTCACTTTGCGTAATTTAAAATTGCCGGCTTGGAGTCGCTTACTCTGAATTTGATCCGGGAGGACGAGGTCATTGCCAGTTAAATTGCTGATTCCTCCCGACCTCCGGTGAAGTCGTGAAGACCGTGCCAGAACTGATTAACTTGCCCTGTCGGTCAACTACCGATATGGCCATAGCGTCAGGACTACTGTAATCTGCGGCGTCCGCGTAGACCACGTCCTCGAGGTGTGCGAAACTTTGGTCTAGTGCTTGCGCTTTGGCCTGCCCGCGTCTCGTATAGTGTTCGGGGTGCATGTTTCTTGGTAATGGTGGGATGTGTATATGACCCCTGATGTCGCGTGGATTGTCGTGTTTCTCCCCGAGTCTTCCTTCGTAGTTGATATGTAGTGTCTGGAGGATGTGTCTGCCAGTCGGGCTCTTGGTAAACCTTTCCATCTGCGCTATCCTCTGTGCTTCTACTAGATCGTCTAGCGTGTTGTGCAATCCAAGTGGTTCGAAGCGCTGGTTGGAGGCTGTGATTGGTATGCCGATTGCCTGCTTGAAAGCCCTTTTTATTAAAGCGTTGATTTTATTGGGCTCATCCGCCTTGAGGTCAAAGGAAGGGAGCAAAGTAGGTTACTCGACTTGGGACGAAAGCCTGAACCTGCCTGATTAAGTTGTACTCCTTCATTTCGTGATGCCGATTGGCTATCCGCGAAATGAGGCGCGTGGTTTGATACACACTTTTTTCTAGTGTCCTGATTGTCTGGATGTTGTGGCCGATTTCCTGAATTTTCAGGCCTAAGACCCTAATGCAGTGAACCACCGGGATGGGCAGGCCCCCGCAAGCGTAATTTGTGGTTTTTCGGTGGTTGCTTCCTTTTTCTGTCCTTTCCCGGTTGGCCGATAAAGGAGCAGCTCCGATTTTTGTGGGGAGCAGCTTAAGCCTTTCGATTCCACGTACCCTTCCACCGCATCTATTGCCTGCTGCAGTGTATCCTGCACGTGCCCGTCAATGCCGCCAGACACGCAGAGTGGGAAGTCGTCAGCGTATACAGGCTGTGATTTAGTCCATGTTTTTCTCTTTATTTTTCTTTTTTAGGGGAAAGCGATAAAGGGTCGGTTAAACCTATATAGATGTTTTGAAGTTTACTGTGCAGGGGAACTCAAAGAGTTCCCCTGCACAATTCCCCTTGTGGCTGTTCAATAGCCTCCACAGAACTCGTCATCTGGCCCCTCATAGCGCCGAGCGTCACGTTCAAAGGATCGCATGAATGCGATGAGTGTGAGGCAGACCTTGGTCTACTGGTCGCTGATGATGGGCGTTGCCACGGTCTGACGGATGTGCATGTTCGTG